GAGGCCTCCTCTAACCCATGATCCGTCTACAATTGAGGATATTTCACACCAGCACTATGGTCGGTGCAAGTCGGATGCTGAATTCGTATAGACCGGCCATCACCGGGATCGAACACCAGTTCACCTCATTGGAAGGTGAACTCTCTATCCCCTGAGCCATCGCAGCTGGTATTAAAATATAAAAAACTATTTACAAAAAGTAAACTAAACTGAACGTAGGTTTTTATTTGTTTAAGAGAACTGCAAAAAGTCGTTATATTATGGACGTCAAATAAATTTTAATGGTGTGTATTAGTTGAAATAAAAAAAAGGATATGTGCTAAAGAATGAAGAAAATGGAAAAATCAACTAATTTGTTAAGGAGGGAATTAGTTTCAAAATCGCCAAATTAATATTGTAACAGATTGCGCTTAATTAATTTTGTTGATTGTTCGTTCATTTACGTCGCACTAGAGCTTCCCAATGGGCTATTGGCGACGGTCTGGGAAACATCCCTGAGAATGATCCGAAGACATGCCATCATAATTTTGATCCTCTTCAGAGGGGATGGCACCCCTGCTTCGGTAGCCCGACGACCTGCACGCGAAGTCGAGCAATTTACGGTAGAACAGTTTAACGAGGACCAATACCGCACACCCTCGGTCCCTACGCAGGCTGATCCAAGTGGTCACCCACCCGCACACTGACCGTAGCCAGTGATGCTTGACTTCGGTGATCTGCTGGGAACCGTGTCTTATTAACGATTAGTCCACTGCGGGACTAATTTTGTTGAAATTAATTATTCGTTATTTGTACAACTGCATGTCTTATCGTAATGATTACGGTTTTAATAAGGAGCTTCTTACCAGCAAAGATAGTGTATTAATATTTTCATGAATTAGAATTTAACTAAATTTTGTTCATTACTTCTTACAAATATTTCAAACAACATGAAGGTCAGATAGAAAAAATTTCATGTTCCATAATCTTTCGATACAAAACTTATAAAAGTTCAATTTGTCTTTCAATTTTCTGTGTTAGTTTCTTGCCTCTTATAAATAAGTATTTCAAACAAGAAAAGGACATCCTTGAAAGCAGAACTTCAATGTAACAGCTACAAAGTATTAGATTGGAGCCGTAGTGGCTCAGGGGATAAAGCGTTTCGCCTTACAATTAAGTGAACCGGAATCGAATCACAGCAATGGCTGGTCGATAAAAATGCTGCACCCGGCTCGCACCGACCTAAGTGCTAGCGTAAAATATCTTCAGTATTAGACGGAATATCTTCAGTAGTGGACGAATCATGGGTTAGAGTCAACTTGTCGCCAGGCTAACTCTAAGAGATTTTCATGATTTTCCTCTCCATGTAACGCAAATGCGGGTTAATCCTATCAAAATGTTCTCCTTAAAGACAAATTTATCCCCTATATTTGACCCGAGAGTTCCCTTGTCATCTGAATTGGGTTCAAAGTTACAAGGTTATGGAACTGAGCATTAGCAATTGTTTACCAAAAAATTGGATCGGCTGTTCAATGACGGTAACAAAAAATAATAAATAAATAAATAAGACTGAAAAAAAAAACTAATCTTGAAAACCCAAATTAGAAGCTGTTTGAGTAGGATTGCACTCATAGTATTTTTTAACGGCACGAATAGCAGAATTCGAGAAACTTAAATATAATTCTCGAATACTCTTTTGTTTTTTACTAACACTATGCAAGTTTCATAACTTTTGTGAGTCTGCGACAGTTATTCAGTACTGTTAATTCAAGTTTAATCCATATTTAGTCAGGGCGTTCTATGCTAATAGGGAGCCGCAGTTTTATGAAAATGAAATGTATGTCTGTTCAAACTTTTTTAATATTTAAAAAGTTACTGTAATGCCCATTCATTTTAATCCATAGACTAGGGGGGAAAAACAGCAAAAAAAATGTAAGAATTTTTCATTGGAAAGTGATTTAATTTTAGTTTAATATCTTAAAAAGAAATTTTAATAATATTTACTTGCCAATGAGGTAAAATTAGAAAATATTTTCAGAAACGCTACCAAAATCAAGAGCAACTAGCTGCTACAATTACAAATTTTATTTATTTATTTACTAAAATACATTTTAAAAAAATACATCGAAAATTTTTATACACTAAAGCTACATGAAACTTGTTTTACAGTGTAGAATAAAAAAAAGAAAAGCGACAATTCCAAATTTTGACTCGATTAAACTAAAGATTTTCTTTTAATTAAAAATCTACTAGACAGGAATTTGAATGTATTCGAATTGGTACTTTTATTCATATGTTTGTATGAGTAACAATGTTTTGTAAACAAAATGGTGTATTAAGAAGATAGACGACATACGGTAAAGCATGTTTAAATTTTTTTTAAACTTATTTCAAAGTTTTTGCATTTGGTTATTTTTTCTGGCAAACAAATTTATGCCTTGTACATTTCATTGAATAGTTCTAATAAAGACTGTTTAGCAATTTTTTTCTTAACTATTTTTTTTTATTGACAGATTTTGTTCATATTACTCCACTTTAAGCAAAAACTTTTGATTTTTTTAAAACTTTGAAGTTTTTTTTTAAAATTAATTTAAAAGGTTTAAGGTTATGGTCAATGTTGATTTCTTGCACATAGAGAACGGATAAATAATTCATGCGTATTATCTTCTTTCTAAATTATGATAATCAATTAGATAGGAAAAATATTTAAACAATTTTCCAAGTTAATAAATCAATCAAACCAATGTATCATTTTTAGAATATCGTATAGTATAATTCTTTTTTAAAAAAAAATCAGGATAACTATATTTTCAAGAAAAAAAATCGAATGTGTCAGACATTTTCCATCAAAATCATATTTTGGAAAAGGTAGATATTATTCAGCTAAAAGAAGTTTTCTTCGCATGATTGCCAAGCTACAGTCAAGTGACGTTCTTTTTATGCTAGTTAAGTTAGGAATTCAAATTCAATAATTCAAAACTGAGTTTAAATATTCAACAAATTTTAATGCTAAACCAAACTAGTAGTTTTGCAAATATAATTTCGTATCTCAATAATAGGTAGTTTTAAAAAAGCAAACAGTTTAAGCTACTAATACCTTTTAATTAATTAAGTTTTTGCGATGCAATTTCTCAGTCTATTAAAGGATTATTTTTCTGATGATAATAATCTGTTAAAGGAAACAGAATAAAGTTCTGACATTTTCTTCGATTCAGCACTGTGGGAGTTAGACAATGTTTTAAGATCCTGAGTTAGAAATTGCAAAATTAAAAACGTAAGCATAGAGCTAAGATTATTTTTTCATAAGAAATTTACACATTTGAAGTGAAATCAATATTTTTTAATTTTTATTTATATATTAATATTTAACCCTTGCCAAGCAGTTGTCAATAGAAAAAAAAGTTACTGGTGGGATATTTTTAAAACATAAAACTTCTTTTATATAACTCGAAATTGAATTTTCATGGTGATTAATTAGCTTAAAATAAGTACAGTCTGCTCTCTTTAGTAAGATGTCCCATAACAGCGAAACTTCAATTTTAATAACCGATGTATAAAGTCCAGATTTTATTTCCTAAGCCCCATGTAATTTTTCTTTTAAATAGAAGATCTTTACTGATAGCAACTAAAATGTAGTCATTTAAGTTAGAAAATTTTACAAAGTAATTACTTAAACCATTATTTATTATTATGCATTTTGAACTATTCCTTCTTTTTTACTACACAATAAAAGTAGAACACTTTGAATCCTCTCGACTGAAGGAAAAGTGACATAATTCCCTAAATTCTTATCTTTAGTCATCATAGGTGGTCGTAATTCAAGGTCATTCATTGCCTGTGTTTCCTTTCATAGGATACAATAAAATTATCAATCATATATTTCTTGTTTGAAAACTGTATTCACAGTTTTTGTGAAATTTTAGACACTCAACATTTCAGTTTGAAAGCAATTCAATTTATTTTCGAGTAAAAGCATGTTGTATTCACATTCATCCTATGGTATGCTATTTATGAAAAATGGAAGCCACAAACTATTATTTTTGGTGCATTTTGAAGTATTAATTTTATGAATACTTTTATGTACTTATAAATGTAAGAAAAAAATATTGCGTTTCAAAATTCTTATTTAAATAAAGCATTGCTCTGTTAAAATTAGTCAAGACTGTTTTGGCCTTAAATTAATATTTAATATATTTTTAGGTGGTCATGGCAGAACGGGCTCACGTACGGCCTGAAAATAACCACTCAACAAGACAAAGTGGCGAATCAAGTTAAGTAAATAACTGGTCATTTTCCCCCCTTGTTTTTTTTACAAGATGTAAAAGTACATTAATGCAAAAAAGCTTTAATTTTCATTAAAACGCTCAAAATCTCTAATAAAAAATTAATGCTTCAGAATCCATCGATTTGATATGGAAATTTTCTTATGAAAGGAGAGTTTTTTAACATTTACAGTTTTTTAACACGTTTTTCAAAGTCATAACGTATACATTAAATGTATTTTTTCATCCAAAATATTTTTAAATATCTTCAAGGTCAATATATATAACTAAATTTTGTCCCATATTCAGATTATTTTTTTTTGTTGATAAATTAACTTTTTTATAGTTGTACAATTAATCCTATTCAACTAATACAACAAAAAAGTTCGCAAAACGAAAAGTTTAAACGAAAACGACCAACTGACGTATGTCACAGACTCATAAGGTTGCTGCATGACGCATTTTGAATTTCTTAGTTTAAATGAATTGTTTGAATGCAGTTAGTTAGTTTGCAAATCTAAGAAACCATTACTTTCGTTTTGATTAATCATAATCATATTAATCTAAGAGTTTCATACTCAGAACTATAATAATTTTATGTTTTAGGAAGAAAATAAACTCTTTCGTTTTTAAATTATTATTTTTTTTTTCTTCGAAAAATTAGGATTTTTTTTAACGGAAAAAAACGAAGAAGTACAAACCACGTGAGTTGCAAGTTAAACGTACTGGGGGAGGAGTCTCCTAGTCTTTAGAAAAGACGACGACATACATGCGTACTTAAACATATGACGAGCGTATGACGTTCAATCCTATTGGCTCATTCAAAATGTACAATGCGCATGCGTACTAGCAGACATAAAGCAGTAACTAGTTTGATGACTTTGAATCTACTACTAACTGGAAGTTTTACCAGTCAATACTAGGTCCTACAATTACGTACCACAGTTCGAGAGATGACGGAATACCTTATCAATAAAGAGGTTGATTTTACCATTGACGAAAAATGCTTTCTTCTCGCATACATTGCTGAAGATAAAAACATGACATCATTTACTTCTTTTGAACGCACATGGTATCGTATTTATTATAATGTGGCATATAATAATGAAGTCGAGACTGTTGATATTGTCCTAAAACTGATCAAGAAATTGAAATTGGATCTCTGGTCTATGTTCAAGGAAAATATTCCAAGAGATTTCGATTTTTCTCACAGTTGTCTTTTAAATAGTCCCGAAGCATTCATCAGAATAACCGAAGCAGGAGCCTCTAACGGAATAACAAAAATAGGAAGCCTGTATCATTGTTACTTTATTAAATTGTAAGTTTTTATTTCAGTTATTTTTCTGCTTAAATTTTTAAACTTGCTTATGTTCTATCCTATATGAAAATAATTAGTGTCCTTATCTAAATTTAGTTCTATGATTTTAAGAGTCATAGCTCTGAATACCAAGAAATATTTCTTTACTTTTAAGACCAGTAGTAGTTTGAATATAATAATTTTAAAATAAATGTAGAGCTAATGCAACTTTTAAAGCTATAATTAATTGAGAATCGCTCTGAATTACTTATATTTAAATTTGAAAACACCCTCCCCCGTAACATTAGGGTGCAGATGGGTATTTTTACGGATATGCATGAAATTTATTGGATATGCTGTTGCTTTCATTTCAAGCAATGTTAATGAGGTAAATAATCCTACTTTAAAAATACAGGCTTTAAAATTAATAATAATTGTAGCTATTGCTCATTAATCTTAGTTTATTATCATGGCTTTTAGAATATCTCTGGTTCCTTGATATATTCTGGAACAAGCAATTCTCAATAATTGACTGCATATTCTTGCCTACTTGTAATTTTTTTACCCATTTTTTTTTTATCAAAATAACATATTTTCTGAGACAAATTTTCTTATTTATTTTTCATTTTTTGCTTTAATTTCATCTATTCTCAAGTAATTTTTTTGCATATTCTCCTTATGGATGCATAGTGGGGATAGTTTTTTTTAATCTTCGTCTTTCTTTCACCCGATTATTTTAATTCAGAATAATCATTTTTGTATTCTATCAAACAAAATTCAAAATTTTCCTATTTATTTTCTTTCTAATATTTAATTGATGTATTGTAGATATTTTCTTAAGCTCCTTTATCTTTTCTTAACCCATTTGTTTTAATTCAAAATAATATTTTTTATTTTATCATAAAAAATTCATAATTTCCTATTTTCTTCAAATTTAATAAATGTATTGTACAGATTAATTTTTAAACTTCTTTCTCTTTATTTTATCCATTAGTATTAATTCAAGATTATAATTTTGTATTTTATCAAACAAAATTTATATTTTTCTGATTTTTTTTCATTTTTTTATACTTAATAAATGCTTTGCCAAATTTTTTTTACGCTCCTTTTTCTTTGTATTTTTTGTATTGTTACAATTTTAAATATTTTTACATTTACCCATTTTCTATATATATACGTAAACGTATCGTAGATTTCAATTTCAAGCTTCCTAATCGTTTTGTAACCTCTTTCCTTCAGTTCGAAATAATAGTTTTTGTATTTAATCAAACAAAATTTCTCATTTTCTGAATTTCTTCGTCAATATTTGTTTTTTATTTTGTGATCTCGTCTCATTATCTCGCCTTACCTCTAAAGATGTGTCATATATATGTCTTTCTTAAGCTATATCGTTCTTTCAACCATTTGTTTTAATTCAGAAGAAAAAATACTTCTTTAACTAGTAAAGTTCATTAGTTTATGACTTTTTGAGCTTATTTTTCTATTTATTACCCTTTATTGCATCTCTTATTAGCAAGTTTACGTGTTGTATATTCTTCTGTATCCTTAGAGAAACATTGCTTTTTTTTTTTTAATCCTTTCAGGAGATTCAATTTTAATGTTCTTTATCTTTAGATTCTATATTTCTTTCAATTTAAAATAATAATTTTGAACTTTATCAAACAAAATTGGTAATTTTCAGATTTTTTTCATTTTTATTACATTTTTTCTGCAATTTGTATTAATTTTTTATTTATTTTTTTTTTTTTCATTTTTTGCCCCGTAGATTTATTGTAGCAGTACTGTTTAGGGCTTTCTGTTTATGCTTAAAATAATGTTTAAATTCCAATTAATATACTTACTTTTCGAAAACAAAATATTTCACGGCCTTTTTATGAGAAAAACATATTCACATAATAAATCCAAGAAATAAATTAATGGATTCTGCACAAAATTTTAACATTGTTAAAGATTTCTGAATACCTTACCTTAAATTATGTATATTCTGATACCTTAAATTATGTATCGAAACAATGTACATGCTTGTAAATGATTTTTCACTTCAGATTATCGACAAGATTTTTAAGAAGTTCTTGAGTTTTATTTCACTGAATATATGGACAGTTGGGCTTTATATCGACAATTTTTTTTCTTTTTAAAAGGAATAGTTTCACTTTATATTTTATATCGGAATTTTATATTCTATATCAGAATTCTCAAAAATATTGTGTAAAATGTGTGTTTTATGGTTTATAAAATATTGTCCACATGCTTGACATTACGGAGATAATTTAAAATTTAATTGACATAAAAACACATATTCTACATATCAAACCCAAGTTGTAGCTGTGAGTGTAGATTTTCAATTTAGTAATATTTAAGTCATGTTAATTTTTCTAAATGGAATATTCAGTCATTATTTTATATTAGAGGTACGAAAGTACAGAGAGCTGGACAAACAATACTTTATATAACTTTATAAAAGATAAATAAATTATCTTTATAACAAATAATAAAAGCGTGCTTTCTGATTTTTACTGGAGACTAGGTAAATATTACCTTCATTTTAAACTAGAAAACAAATAAGACCGAAACCAAATTTTTTAATTGAATTGTTTTTAATATTTTGATTGACTTTCCGAGGAAATACTTTATAGTAACTGCACTCGTAGTTGAAAATAAGAGTTCGATTTTTGCCATTTTTATAAAATGCCAAATTTATTTGTTGTCCTCNAAATAATATTAAAACAGATTTAAATATTAAAATAGATTTAAAGTTATTTTATTTCTAAAATTCTCACATAGATGGCGCCACTAGAGTAAAAGCATGGTATCATTTATGTATTATGTAATAAAAGATGACGTCATAAGTTCATAATACACAATTTCTATCCCAAATAACAAAGTTTCTAAGTGTTGCCATCCTTAAAAACTAATATTGAAATAATAAGTGTTGCCACCCTCAAAAAACTAATAAATTAAATAATATTTAAAAAACGAAACTAAATTAAAAACAGAAACCGAAACTAAAAATATATTAGGCTTAAGAAAAAAAGAAATAAGCTCCCCATGACGCTGCAGACGAAGTTTCGATTTTCAGGCGGGCAGAAATAAGCATGCGGGCAGAAATAAGCAACTTCCGGTTCATAGGAGGGCAGAAATAATCAACTTCCGGTTGTAGGCGGGGCAGAAATAAGCAACTTCCGGTTGGGGCAGAAATAAGCACCCCTTGACTGCCCATCACTTCCGCCGCATACATGCCTGCTATTACTACTGACATTTATATTTTATGATTCTAAAATAGGCAGTTTTAATTATAATTGTTTGTTGATCATAAAACTGAGTTTATTTAATCAAAAAACTATTCTATGCATTAAATTCCATTAAAAATTAAAATTTAGCAAAAATTTATAACTTAATATTGAATATAGCACTCCCCTTTTAATCGAATAACCCGCTAAATTACATAGTGTGTGTAGGTTGCTCCATTATTGCGACTTAACTATTTTTGCTTAGAATTCTCGATCAAAAGGAAATGTAGATAAACTGCAAACAGGTGGTCTTAAAATAATATTATGAAAAAGAAAATTATTAAAGGTAGAGAAGTCAGCAATCACAGCAAATGATGTAGTATGAAATTATTTAGAAGCAATTCCTTTTAAAAAGAATTTTATAAGTGTTCTCCTTTCGCACAATTCGATACAATTTTTTTAAACTTACCATAAGAAAATGGAATTTAATTTGTTCAATTTTACTGTGATGAATCTCGATACTTTTTTTATGAATTTTTACCTTAAATTTACCTTTTATTTTTTATTTTACCTTACTGATCCAGGAGTTTCCATGTCATCTGGAATGGGTTCGAAACTACAAGGATACGGAGTTGAGCATTAGTAGTCGTAAACCCAAAATTGAGTCGGTGGTTCAACTACGATTACATATAATATAAAAACTAATTAATGCTAACTATTGGTTAAGTTTCAGAAAAAGAAACAAACTTATTTTTTCTCTGGACATTCCCTTCTGAAAGTCATAAAAGTCTGTCATTTACGACTTCCGGGACTGGTACACCCTGATAACGCCATCCATAACTAGCTTAACTTGAAAAAATGGTATGTTTATTCAGATGAAGTACGTTTTCGTGTCTGATTCTCTATCTAAGATAATTCGACATATTAGCATATTGGAGGTCATCTCTTTAAAACATAGTACTATAATCTTAGTACTGAGTTCGAGGAAAAAGGATCACTATAACGAAAGCAATTCATTTTGTTATTCTGCAATATACAGAGAAAGAAACTTATCTTACTGAATTTGGTTACACTCTTTGTACTAACTTTTGGTTAAAAAGAGGGTTATTAAATAAGTTAAATACTATAAATATTTTTCTTAGTTGAACTACAAGATCAAACACAAAAATGAATTGCTGTGAATAAAAATACTTTTGTTTCGGATTTGGATTCTTGACTTAGAAATACAGTGAGTAGCTGTCACCTGAAATATATTGTCCTAATATTTCAGTTGTTGAAATATCACATTTTGAGAGTTTTATTCTATCTCAAGAAATTTTTCGAGATTTTAAGAATGCACTTCTAGCGAAACTATTGGGACCATATTTTAGCAATTCCTTTCCATTTTGACTATCCTTACTTTAATTAAGAATTGAGATCCCCACGAGGCAGAACCAACTATAATTTCGTGTTGGCAATCACTTTTACTATGTATTGAAACAGAGTAACGTTTCGCACACGCGTTTCAAAAATTGAATTTGAGTCTTTTTAATTAATCTTTTTTTTTTTTTTACCTTTTAGGTTTTTTGATGAATTCTACGATATGGAGACACAAATTCAGAATGATACTTCTAGATATCCTCTCAACTTCCGTGTATATCAGCTTCTGAATCTTTGTGCGCGGTACAAAGGTAAATCAGCACGGCTCGAAATGCCCATGCGAGTACTCTGGAGCTCCATCCCAGATCCACTTTTGACGTCGACCGACGTTTTTAGGCTTTTTGAAGGGATTGATCCCATATATTTTCCGAAGATAAACAACATATGTCAATGGTACTGCAATCTAGTGAATTCTGAGGAAACTTCTGTTAGGCGTCCAAGATCTTTGCAACACCTTTCAAGGTACTGCATCAGAAACCGATTAAGAGACAACTTTAAGTTGCCCGAAGGAGTGGAGGAACTAGGCATTCCCAAACTTGTCCAGAAGTACTTACTTCTGAGAGATTTCAACAAGATAGAATGAATACTTTATCTCGGAATCATTTATGCAAAGTCTCTATGAAAGATATTAAGGACTAACCTCGAAAACATTTGAATAGTTTCACTGCTAAACGTGAAATATTTTTTCTTCATATTAGTAAATAGTGTACAATGAGTTTTTGTTTGCGGTGCTCAAATAAATTTTTTCATATTAGCGTATATTTTATTTTCAGTTTGTATGAAATATTTATCTACATTTATATGGTAGTTGCAATACACGGTTGAACTGAAAATTTTGTGAAAAATAATGCATTTGAAAAAATATTCGCACGTATGTATAATATTTAAATTTCTAGCATGTCACAAAGACTTTTTAAGCAGTATTTATGAGAAACATTTTTTTTTACAGTAAATGTGAAATTCAAGCATACATGAAGGTATAAACGATATTTATATCAGTAATTAAAATTCAGGAAAACCAAACTAAGGTAGATTCAAAATTACGAAAACGTGACAGAGTTAAGAAGAAACATAAAAATAATTATATTTTTAAAATATATATATATATATATATAAATTAAT